CCAATGAGGGAAAGCCAAGTGCCCAGGGTACCCTGAGAGTGGCAGAGCTGGGATAGGAACCCAGGGGTCCGAACGGCCCAGCTGGAAGCTGCACCGGGCAGTCATTTGCTTTATGGAGACCTCAGAGCTTTTCTGGAGTCAGGGACTCTGGCTGAGAGGGCAGTTAGGGGCTGTGAGAGAGGTGGAGGTGCTGAGAGTGTAATTCCAGTGGGGGTGGCATGGGGATTAAGCAGTGGAAGGATGAGCCTGGGGGAGGAGGTGGCATCTGCCCCCCTAGTTCCCAGCCATCAGCTACCCCAGGGCTGTGGTTTGTCTCTTCTGGGCTAGGGGGCCAGAGGGCTGAGGTGAGGGAGGGAGGTGATGGGAAAAGGCTGCTCTGGGGCTTCCTGCCCCCTCAGTCCTAGGGAAGGGGGGCCGTTTACATCACCCTCTAACCTCCATTCTTTCCACTGCAGCGCTCTTTCCTTGGGTATGTTCATGTTATTTGGGGGTAAGGTCTGTTATTTGGGGGGAAGGGAGGCAGCTGCCTACTTCACAGGTCAAGACAGGGTTAAAAGCAAAACCACAGCAAATTCAACACCCCGTGTCCTTCAGGGACTTTCCATGACACCTTCCTTCCCCCTCTGCCCCAGCCAGGGAGTACCTCCCCAGAGGGCCTCCCCACCCCAGGTGCACTGGCTTCTGGCTTTTATGCAAACAACTGTCTGACCCAGGAATGCTTTGCAGCCAGAACTTCTGTCCTGGGCCGCATGCACTCCTCCACCATCCCTCCGCTTTCCTGGCCTTCCCAGAGCTCGCACCTCCACTCTTCCTCAAACTCTGGGTGCTAGGAGGTGGGAGGCAGGGAACACAGTCCTCCTTCTCCTGCCCTCGGGTGGCAGTTGCCTGCAGGTGGAGCCTGTGTGAATAGCCTGGTTGTGTTGAGTGGGGGGAGAGGGAGGAGGATGCAGGTGCGGGGTGGCCTTCACTGCCAGGCCCACCACCCTCTAAACCAGTGGTTCTCAACCTTCCTAATGCCGGGACCCTTTAATATAGCTCCTCATGTTGTGGTGACCCCCAATTACATTGTTACAAATTGAACATAATTAAAGCATAGTGATGAACCACAAAAACAATATGTAATTCTGTACGTGTTTTCCGATGGTCTTAGGCGACCCCTGTGAAAGGGTCGTTCGACCCCCAAAGGGGTCGCGACCCACAGGTTGAGAACCACTGCTCCAAAGCATTAAATTAGTTCCCAAGAATTAGGAAACTGTCCTTGAGCTGGAAATCCCTTCAGCCCCAACCTCAGCACCAGCCAGCTGTGGTCTCTCTCTGCTCCTCATGGGCAGAGGGGATCTGAGTGTCCCTGTCCGTTTTCTCCCCAGCCGCTGCTGCTTTGAGGAGGGAGCGGGATGGAGACAGCCACCCACTGTTCTCTCCAAGGCTGAGCGTCCGCTACCGAGAGGGCATGTTGGGTGTGTTTGATGTTACAATACAGACGGGCTGCAGGGCCAGTGCCCTCTCCCTGCCCTGGGTGGTGAGACTGGACAACCTGCTGCAGAGCCTCCCAACAGTCCGGTGGCGCTGAAGGTGGAGCCGGCGAAGGCTGCCACCAACCCGGCCCCATGTTTGCTAATCCTGAACCTCAGCAGTATCCTCCTCCTGCCTCTCCCACAGAAGGGAAAGGGAAGTTGAGTTGGATGAGGCTGAGCAGCCAGACCACCTCTCATTCTCTCTTCTGACATTTTCTAAGAGACAACAGAGGCATCGAGACAGGAAGGATCCCCTGCATTCCCTATGCTGGTCTCCTTTCCCCAGTCCCTCAGGTCGGGGCCCCCAGGCGTCTACAGGCTACATGTACGTGGGGTTCAGCAACTGCGACTTGAGTTTCCCAACATGGATGTTTCTGGAAGCCCAGAGATGAAGTCCAGACTGGCCTATCTTTCAGGAAGCATCCCTGCTGGGAGGGAGGGCAGAGTGGTGTCTTGAAATTAATTTGAAGACACTGTGCTCAATGTATTGATCCTGTCAGGTCCAGGCCCCAAACACCTCGGGTCCCGAGTGAACCAAGGACCAGCGGAACCAGAACCTCACTAAGGAGACAGGGTACCAGTGGCAGCTCAGCACCGTGTCTGGTGCGATGCTTTATTTTGGCGATAGTTCCGTTCATCTTGGTACTTGGGCGCTAAGCAATAGCCAGAGGGCCTAAACTAGGGAATGCCCCTGGAGGCGGGATTGAAACCTCCCGTTTCTGACAGCAGCAACTACAAATGACAGGCATGCACAATGACTCATTTTAAACACACCAGAATTTTTTATTTTTCAGTATAAAAATCAAACACAATAAAACTTTGAAAACGATCAGCAGGGTTGGTTTTGATGCGAGGATGCACTCATTATGGTTCCGGCAAGGTTAGCATTGCTACATTTCAGAAGCTGGCTCTAAGCACTTTATGGCGATCAGGGCGCCTTACCGAGCTCCAAAAGGTCGGACTCCTGGAAAAACTCAAGAGACGTCAAGAGGGAAGGTCACTGCTGGGGGGCAGGGAGGGGGCATTTCTGAGAAAACCAGATGAGACTGCTGTGAGCACAGGCTGTCAGACTGCTCAGCGAGGGCTCCCTCCCTCGCTCCTGGTGGAAAGGCCACCGAGCCCCAAACCACATTCCCTCCCTCCCTCCCGTCATTCTGCAGACGAAGGTCATCCACAGACCACACGTGTGGTGGCTTTGGCAATCAGAAATTAAAAATAAGCTCTGGTTTTTCCAGCCGCCGAAATAATCCCTCACCAAAGCTCAGACTGAGAACCTGAGAACCACAGTCTGGGTGAAGGGATGTCTGCTTTTCAAATGACCTGCTAATTCTTTGCAACCCACAGTAACTTGGTTTCTGTGAACCCACAGAAGCAGGCCCACCGAGAAGGGCCTTGTCTGCTAGCCTGGAAGAGTCCTTGTATAAATGAGTCACAGGCAATGGGATCAGTCATGTTGAAGGCTGCCCCATTTTCCTGACATGTGAAAATACACCCTATTTTTATAAGGAGAAAGCAGCAAAGCTGCACTTGCATTGAGAATATGGAATAGGCCCCACGGGTGCATGGCACAGGCTCGGGAGAAGGTGGTGGCATTACAGGACAGCTCTCTAGGCTTTCTGGAGTGGGTCAGTGGGGAGATGGGCAGTGAGGGCCATCTGGAGAAACTCTAAGTTGCTTGGGGAATTAATGGCTGAGGGTTTATAGGACAATGACAGAGCAAAGCTATTCTACTTTCCTGGCTGCAATGCCGTGAAGTACCTGTAGCATGTGGTTAACTCACTTTGGTCCAACACATTCTTTACTCTTATACATTAAAACAACATAAAGGAAACTGTGTTAGAGACCAGTTGCCTCCACTGACAACTGAATTATTATTATGGTCCTAGGAGGGTCCTTGAATACTTTCCATGTCTTTAAATCCAGATACGGTACATATAGTGAAAAATTTGCAAGCATCCAACATAATCCCCCAGCCCCTTAAAAAAAAAAAAAGTAACATTATCCTATACACAAAATTACATAAAACCTCACAACATCCTTGGGAGGTAGATATCATTATGACCTTACATTTTTTAATCAAAATATTAACATTATAGTTTCAAATAACAACTCAATCTCGAAGTAAAAGACAGTCCACTGTTATGACATTTAGGGGAAACTTGCATTGTTTCTCCCATATACAAAGACTTGTTTTCCATATTGGTGGCCTGTGGGGTAGACTATATACAGCTTGGATACACAGATGCACAGTCTTGTGTTACGAGCTCACGCAGGTTTAAAGCCAACATGTCTCTTCTGAGTCCAAAGTGCTTAGAGGCAGCCGTCCCCAAACCCGGTTCACTGATCATTCTCAGAACCGTTCAGTCCTTCAGCCTTAGAGAACAGAGTCCTTTTTCTAGGGTGACCCAGGTCTAGCCTTTGGCTTTAGGTCACAACTGTCTTTATAGGCACTTAAATCCCGTTATTCTGCTTTTCTGAACTCTGCCCACAGAGAGTCTCTGAACTATACTGTTTGAGCACAAAAATAGTTCCCAATTTTTAAAAAGTGATAGGCATCTCTGTATCATAAACACAGAGGGAAAGGGGGTGGGGAGGTAGAAGAGGGTAAAGGGGAATAAATGGTGACAGAGAGTTGACTTTGGGTGGTGAACAAACAATACAATATACAGATGGTGTATTGTGGAATTATACACTTGAAATCTATATAATTTTATTATTAAATGTCACCCCCAATAAATTCAATAAAAATCAAGAGAGAGAGAGATCACCGTACATCTTCTTCTGCACAGCCTGATGCTATGTTCTAGGACAAAATGTTCTTCTCTTTTTTGACTCTTTGAGTCGCTGTGAAAGAGCTTAGACATGTCTGAGGGCTCAAATCTTGAGTGTCCCCGAGTTTCCAAATCTCCATTAGATACCTGTTCCCAGTGAGATATACTTTAAAAGTTCGAACTTTAAAAGATTTAACATTTGACATTTCCATTATGGTCTTATTGCCTGCTCTGGGATATATATATATATAT